GGAAATCCACTGACAGGTCTGTGGAAATGATAGCTAGAATAGTTTGCGGTACATAATTGTCTTCGCTTCGATACCCGCAAATCGCATATTCTGTTCCAGAAAACGTGCTCTCACGCGGAATTTCGATCGCCGTTGCCACTATATATCGACACATCGTCTTCGAGCGAGTTGTCAATCGCAAAGAGCCAGACTGCAGTGATAACAAATCGTAATGTCGCTCACGCCTGAGAAAAGAATTCGGCCATAGAGAGATTGTGAATCTGTCGATAGATTCGCATGAACATATCGGACATACTCGCAGCATTGACGTTCCACAGTTTTACAATTTTCGCGGGCCAGTCGCGAAACGACGTACGACGATCAGTGTATCTGTCGTGATACGGAAATACGTCTATAGTCGCCATAGACTGATTCGTTTATAGTGGCGCGGGTCAAACTGTTTCCTTCTTCAGATAAAGAAGAGGAGGAGGCGTAGCCGTCGGAGGAAACAATGAAAACGGAGGGATGCATAATAAGGGAGAGAAGGCAAACAGTGACAGCCCAAGTACGAATTTACTACTAGCATCAAAATGGCCCAGCACTGATTTATGGTAAATGTTACTGGCATAGTACCAGATGCCAGTACGGGTTTAGTATTGGTGTAATACTGGAATAATAGAAAAGGGCCAGTATCGAAAAACAGTACTGTCACAGTATCGAAAATCAGTACTGTACCAGAATAGAAAAAGTATTGATTCCTAGTACTGGGGCGGTACTTATTCCCAGTACTGGGTCAGTATCGATTACTAGTAATTTTTATTACTTGTACAATTGTTAATATTACAACTATATGGAAAGAAAGATCAGACCATGGCAGAGGAGGCTACTCTCGTACCTATACAGGTCTATTTTTAATCATATGAGTCATATAAGGAAAAAATCTTCGGAGCGACGGCTGGAATCGAACTCGAGTCTTCCGCTTGTCAAACAAACGTTCTTACCACTCTTATTTAGGTTTCGCGTTAATAATCTCTTCCGTTTTCCCACAAAGGACATTAGTATCGTCCGTTTTTCGGTACTGGCACAATATTGACCCAATATCCTCTATTGGCAGATTGTATACGATTTTTACTTGAGTATCCAGTACTGATTCTACGAACAGAGCCAGTACCAATAATACAGCTTTTTTATATTGGGCCCAGTACTGAACCAGTACCAAAACCGGATATCCGCTTTTCGGTATCGACCCAGTATCGGGCCATTTCTCCGTACTGGCGAAATGTATACGATTCCTACTTGGGAGGGGGTAAATAGTGACGGTTTAAATTTGTTTACTTAGACGTTATACGATCGGACTCGACAGTTTTTTTCTACATTGATTAACCCTCCGAGAACACACCTATTTTTTCAAGCATAGAGTACACTCTGGGTCAATCTGACCCTACGCTAACTTTGAGGGTCCGCCATTTTAAAACGACGTGTGCGATTAGCTTAAAAAAATTTCTAGATATACCTGAAATATAGAAAAATCACGTAAAATAAATTAAAAATGTCGTTATAATTATTAACATATCTAAAAAAATTCTCAAAAAAAATTTTTTTTTGTAAAAATTGTAATTTACAAGAAACAATCGTGATTTTAGAGGGCGTCAATCCCGCCAATTTTCAAAATGCCTTCAACATATTCATGATCAACGTTGAGGTAAGGGTCAAATTGACCCAGTGTGTTCTCGGAGGGTTAACGTTTAATTTAAAAAAAGAAATCATCCCGATTGCTATAAAATTGTGGTCTCTAGCGATTTTTTAACAGTAATTTTCTATTTGTTCCCACTTCTACTCCATAACTCATTAAACCATTATTTGTGCGGCGGTCACTGCACTGGTGGTGATAGAATGAACCACTACTGGCGGTCAGTGTATGCTCCTGTTGTTCGCCAAAGAGCTTATTGTCATTCCCTCTCGTACGGTCGTAAAAATTTAATTTTCTGCGCAAGCGATTGTTGAGGGGAACGATAATTTTTACGACGACGATGATAATGGGAGGTTCTCGAGCGGAGGCGGCGGACTTCCGACCTCTTGCGTGATTGCGTACTTCGGCGATACGGTTGAAAATATTTGTGCGTTTGAGACGCCATGGTGATAAAAATAATTAGATCAAACTCGACGCACGGATTGTGTAATTCGCCGAAAATATAATGGTGGTTACACACGAGTGCGTTATCTCACAGCGTCGCCATGTGACGCGCGCCGATAAATGATCGATAACGCGCTTGCAACGCGTTATCGCGGCGTGACCTCGACACGTGTAGTATACTAATATACCAATGCAGTACGTAAGCAGCCACTTAGCTAATTAACGATTAATTGTATCGGAAATTAGGGCACAAACAAAATCAGCCACTCATGCGACTATATTCCATGACTACAATCTGAAAAAATATGTAAAATAAGGTAAGTGTCCTTAGTGATTGAACGTATAATTGAATTATTAATAATATTTGTGTTTGTTAAGATGCTTATCAATAAATGAAACAAAATCACAAGGTAACTAAATATTTCTTTTCATTTATTATATTGTTTTGTATATTGAAAAGCATTTTATTAGGTGTACAACTTTGCTTCCGTCGTTTTTTTTCCGAAATTCGAGGCTTTATTGTAAAAAACTGGTTATACATTTATGATTCAAAGTATTGTCCATCGCTGGCCACTACTTTCTCCCATCTTTCGGGCAGCGTACGAATCCCGCGTCGAAAAAACTGGTCATCTTTTGAGGCGATCCACGAATCGATCCAATTTTTTACTTCTTCATAAGACCGGAAGTGCTGGTCAGCCAGGCCGTGTGCCATTGATCAAAACAAGTGATAGTCAGAGGGAGCAACGTCTAGAGAATACGGCGGGTGGGGTAGGACTTCCCATTTTAACGTTTCCAAGTATATTTTGACCACTTTCGCAACATGGGGTCGAGCAT